ATAATTGTACTTAAATTTCAAAAATTATTTTAGTTATGTTAAAATTAATCTTTATTAGATAATGTATATTTCTCTAAAACAACCTTGATTTAACTAATATTGCATCTTATAATATATTTATATATGTATAAATCATCAACTTATAGTGAAAGTTAAATTCTTCTCTAGGATGCGCTATAGGGGCACGACGAATGTGCTTGAATGGAACGACGTCATCTTGACCTTTCTAAAAAGGGCAAGATTGGATTCGATTAGGCAGTTTAATGGAATCAAGATCGACCGCCAACTCATCACAGCATTGGTATAGAGATGGCGAAAGGAGACACATTGCTTCAATTTTCGTGAAGGCGAGTGCACCATCACACTTAAGGACATCGCCATCCTAACCGATTTGCCCATCGATGGTGATGTTATTTGTGTGGACTCTACGCCACCACCTAAAGTTGTTGCCAATATGAGTGGTTGGCAGCATTTTATATGGACGGTCACCGAGTTGTGTCCTACAGAAAAGGGAGATCACGATGCGGATGGTAATCCACCATTGTCCAAGGGCCAAGTATCCATCACTTGGTTGACATCGCAGATCAGGCGTAAGCACAACCCTGAGTTCGGAGGCATTCCCCTCACAAAGGAAAGTTCGGAGCGTGATAAAGACATTTATGCATGTATCTACATCCTCGGCATGATCGGAGGAGTTTTCTTCCCCAAGAAATCCAACAATTTGATCAGCGATTCATGGTTGAAGATCATACTTGAGCGTTGGGATGATATGGGAAACCTTAGATGGGCATCTGCTTGCCTAGCTCATCTCTACTGCTCCCTCTGTAATGCTAGTGCGAGAGCGGTGAAGGAGATTGATGGGGCCATGTTCATAGTCCAATTTTGGGCTTGGGAGCATTTGCCCTGGATTGCGCCGAAGGTAGACCCCGACAAGGAATGGGGACCCGACTATCCCCTACGACATGAAGCTTATGCTTGTAGGTAAATATTTTCTATCCCACTCATAGTTCTCAACTTTTTTTTTTTTACTAATTGGGTATTTTAAAACGAAATTTTCATTATGTATTAACATGAAGTACTTTTTGGAATTAATAGGTGGCTTGGTGAAAAAATATGCGACAACCTAGGAGCGCATAAGTTGGAGTATCGTAGGAGGGTGGATCGCCTTTGGGAAGCAGAGGTGACCATCATAATACACTATTACTTCCTGCTTTATTTTCAACTTATATTATTATGTTTCTTAATGGTCCATTTTTTCTGCACCTTCGTAGCTTAAGTTCGATCCGTATCCAGAACGCATCGTCGCGCATCACGTCCACAAGCTCTCGTTGCATCCCGCTCAATGGTGCACCCGAGTTCCACCAATCTGCCACCATATAGTGGAGTGGCACTTGCCGGATAGATGTATACGACAATTCAGACGTGAGCAATGCCTTCCATTGGAAGTCCCGGCGAGTCAGAGGGGGCACCACGGGAAAGATGGTCGACAAGGATCTACTAATTGGCTGGAGGAGTTTGGAGAATTGATCGCTCTGTGGAACGTTAGGCAACATCAGGATATTGTGACGGGATCAGATGTGGGGCGTATGGGCTACCATGACCCATACATGGAAACATACTGAAGACAATCTGTTCGTTACATGACCCCCGAAGGTGCGGCGGACGGAGCTTTGGTAAGTAATTCAATCTTTATTTATTTAGGCATGCGGTGCATTACTACTTAAATGGCATCTCAACAATTTTCAGAGATGGGGAGGGCACGACATTCCCTGTAGACGTCGTTGATACTCTCGCTTGAGTTCGTTGTGGCAATGCCCCATCTGGTACCTCCGTCCTTATGAAACGTCCACATTGCAAGGTCATGTTGATCAAGCCACTGCGCACCTTCAGGGCATAGTTGAAGAATATTCTGCATCTTCTCTTTAAGTTTCTTCTCTTGGTAAGCGACAACTGATGAATATCAAACAAAAGCGTAAGGTAAGCAAGCAAGACCGACCTTACCCTCAATACAAGTACACTCGTAAGACTCTTAGGAGACGTATACATCTCCTTAGAAACACAGCCTGTTTGACAGAAAAGGAGGGGGGGGGGGGATCCAAGGATCGGTTAGAACCCGATTTTCCTAAGAAATGGGAGGATCATGATGATCGCTTAAAACCCCATTTTCTTAGGCATGCATTACTTTATAAAGAGTCTAAATAACTGTTGTATTGTATTGATTTAGTCCTCGTTTTATCCAGTTGACAAAATATATATAACAATTAAATAGAACGCTTACCGATCCACCATAGACTATCAGCAAGCTTCTTTCGCTTGAAATGATGGTTCCAGTTGCTCTTGAAATGTCGTATGCACCATCTCTGTGACCAGTTCCAGGCTGGATCCAAGTCTAAGATAACAGCCCATATACCGGCGTGGCGATCTGAGATGATAGTTAGGTTCGTCCGCCTGGTGACATGGAGTTGAATTTGTCTGAAGAACCATCCATAGCTATCGGTATTCTCTCCCTCCACAATGGCAAAGGCTAATGGATATACTGCTCTATTTGCATCTGCTCCGCTGGCGATCAGTAGAGTACCCTTGTACTTGCTGGTAAGGAATGTTCCATCAACTTGAATCACATGAACACAGAATGGAAAACCATCAATACATGGCTTGAATGCCCAGAAAAGACGCTTGAAATGACGCTTGTTACCAGGCACCAGCGGATGAATTTCTTCATCTTGGTAGCGAGGCGAGAAAATGGTGCCATGGTTAGACACCTCCAAATCAATTTGGGAAGGAATGCATATGATTTTTCCCAGTCACCTAACATGGTGGCCATTGCTTTCTGTTTCCCATGGCACGCCTTCTTGTAGTTAACGATATAACCATAACGACTAGAAATGTCGGCGATGATAATTTTCACCTTCAGGTCGGGCTGCTCCTCAATTAGATGTTTGATAGCCACGACAACCACCCTTTTCAACTGTCGATGGCCTTGAGATGTTATAGATGACACACATGTGTGTGTGTTCACCGCACGGGATATGACCCAATGGCCGACTCTCTTGCTCTTGATGGCCCGGACCCTAGCTTTGCATCCCTCATTTTGATTTTTGCATCTAACCATCAGCCTCTTCGTGTCGGAATGGGTTGTTTGCCATTCAAAACTCCGAGTCATTGCTTCAGTGGTAATAACGTGCCGGACCTCATTCTTTATTGCAAATTGTTGGCCCTTTGTAAAGCTAGTGAGTGGACCCCATACTAGCACCTCTGGCGGGTCCATGTCGGCATCAACATACCAATCTTCATTTGGAATGTGATTGTAATATGGGATAGGTACACGGTCGCGAGGTACCTCATCACCGTCTGCGTCTGAATCTGGACCGGAATCATCAGCACCTTCCAGAGGATCGAAGTTGTCTGCACTAACATCGCCTTCCTCTTCTTCAATCTCAGGGTCACTAACTGGACTTGGATTGACTTCTTCTTCCATTTGATGATCATCATGAAAGGCACCTTCACCTTCACCAGCTTCGTAATGATAGTTGTGGTAACTGACACTGCTTTGGTAGAAGTTGTACTCGGGTGGATACTGGTAGCCTGCTTGTTGGTTCTCATTCGCCTGTGAGCTTCTTCTTCATATGAAGGGAAGGATTGATGATGACCTCCAGTTCCATCATGATACTCCTGCCTCCAGCTCGAGTCTTGGTACTCCTGGTTGGGATGATCTTCATATAATACACTCCCACCGTGGATACCACATGTAAATGAACATCTCCGCTTGCTTAATTTTATTGGTGGTCAAAAATTGGACCAGGACATCAACGTCCTCCTGAGTGGTAAGGAGGAATTCCTCATTCCACAGCGACCCGTCATGTCTGTTTGAATATCGATACACCATTTGATAAACTCTTCTAGTGCCATCCATGCAGGTAATCTGAGTGCACATTTGATGGAGCTCTTCAAACATCGGTCTCGTACGGACCTTCATTTTATAAAAATTGCCACCGACGTAACTTACACCCTTTTCGGTCTCTTCCGTATAACCATTCCACCGCAACCCAAGCGTGAACCTTTGAAATGTCATCTGCAATAAAACTGTAATTAAGTTACTAACATAAAATCACAAAAGACAATGAAAAGTAATACAAAACAAACTTACGAATTAACATTAATCGCAAAAACTAAATAATTTAAAGGTGCACAACTGAAATTTGAAGAAGGAGGAGGGGTGAAGACTTTGAGTTCTCTGGAACGACCTTTTATAGGCGAATTTTACAGTACAAACCGCCGGGGGGGGGGGGGGGGGGAGCGGTTTTTGGTCTGCCATGCAGCCCCACCCCCTGCATGCTGACATGTTGGATGTCGCCTGACCAGGCACAAACCGCAGCTGGGGGCAGCAGTTTACGTGGCACAAACCGCCAGTGGGGGAATCGGTTTATGTGTCCACATGGTAAACTGCGGCCTGGTGGTGCGGTTTACCAAGTCGACATATAAACGCTCCCTGAGGAAGCGTTTTGTGGTAGGGCAGCCATATAAACCGCGTATTCGAAGAACGGTTTTACCTGAAAAGGAAAACCGCCTGTTGACCAGGCGTTTCTATTGTAAACCACAGCCTGGTGGTGCGGTTTATATATTAACCGCCCCCTTAGAGGCGCGATATTTAATAAACTGTGGTATTTTTGAAAATTGTTAGGAATGAGTGATATTTTTGTAATTTTTTTTAACAGTGGTAGTTTTTGATTTTTTCCGAGAGATTCCGGCCACTCAACCCTCCGGCCTCCACCCTCTTGACTCTTGAGTTCTACTAGCGAATTCGGCGCCGTCTGGGAAAGCCAAGGCCCACCTATCAGGCCCGGCCTTTGTACTGCTGGGTATTTTATGTCATCCTGATTCCTGAGTACTAGGCCCAAAGTTGGTACTCGAGAAATGCCAAGCCCACCACGGTTAATAGTATTTTCGGTGGAAAAGGCCCAAAGTTTTCCAAAAGCCACGGCATTCATTGATCGCGCCTCGCGCGTCATGCTTTCCGCCGGTAAATGCCACCGCCGCAGTCATCCGAAACCCTTCTCCAACTCCTCCAGCATTTCATCAAACACCGAATTCAGGTCAAGCAAATCCACGCCCACGTAATCACCAGAAGCCTTCTCTCTCCGGACCCATTCTCGAAATGGAAACCCACGCTTTTCTACAACACTCTGATGCGAGGGTACGTCAGTTTCGGCCATACACGACACACATGTCGCCTGTTCAAGCTTATGCTCGCCCACCAAATCCCACCAAACGCCCACTCTTTCCCTTCCCTGATCAAAGCTGCTGGACTCTGCTGTGCTTTCCGCGGCGCTATTTCCCTTCACGGCCAAGCTCTGAGAAGGGGTTTGCTAGCGGATCCGTTTGTGCCGACGTCTTTGGTTGGAATGTATTCGCTCTTCGGTGATGGAGTGGGTGCCCGCAAGGTGTTCGACGAAATTCTCTGTCCTGGTGTCTTTGAGTATAATGCGATAATTGATGCTTATGCTAAGAATGGTGACGTGGGTTCTGCTCTTGTGATGTTTGAAACTATGCGGCAGAGAGATGTCGTTACTTGGACTAGCGTGATTAATGGATTTGCAAAGAACGGTCTTTTCCGCGAGGCAATTCTGTTTTTCAAGGATATGATGGTGCACGATGATGTGCTTCATGGTTCCGTTAGACTGAATGAAGCAACTTATGTTAGTATATTGTCTTCGTGCGCTAGTTTAGACTGTGGAGCTCTTGTTCTCGGAAGGCAAATTCATGGGTACATGATCAGGAATGAGCTTTGTTTCACTGTGTTTATGGGGACAGCACTAACTGATCTCTATGGGAAGTTGGGATTTCTGGATAAAGCGGTGCTGGTTTTTAATAGAATTGTGGCTAAAGAAGTTTGCACTTGGAATGCACTCATTTCTGCACTTGCAAATAACGGCAGAGAGAAGGAAGCCATACATATGTTTGAGAAGATGATCAAGGTTGAAGGCCTGCACCCGAATGAAGTTACCTTCGTGGCATTACTCACTGCCTGTGCTCGTGCCGAACTTGTTGAGTATGGTTTGAAATTATTTCAGTCAATGCAAAACGAATTCAAAGTGGTACCAAGATTGGAGCATTATGGTTGCTTAGTTGATCTCATGGGCAGAGCAGGGTTACTGGGAGAGGCAAGTGATTTTGTCGACGGCATGCCTTGTGAGCCCGATGGTTCTGTATTAGGCTCACTTCTCAGTTCTTGCACAATCCATGGAGAAATGAGGCTAGGACATGAAGTGGGCCAAAAGTTAATCAAATTACAACCACAGTATTCTGGACGGTATGTAGCCTTATCCAACATCAATGCTTGTGTAGGGAGATGGGATTTGGCTGCTTATGCTAGGAGAGTGATGGTAGAGGCGGGAATTCAAAAGATTCCTGCCTACAGTTGGACATATGCTAAATGAAAACGAATAAATGCCCGTGGTTCTGGTTTTTGAGGAATACCAGTGGAGTGCGGAAGGATATTGATTGACCCACAATCGTGGCACAATATATTCGACGATGTGGACAGAAGCCTGCTATTAGTTTGATCGTCTTTCTTCATTTTCAGCCATCTGTTTCTTCCTTTTGGAAGGAGTAAGTCTCAGCTGGTCCATGTCACCATGATCAGGACAAGAGAGCTTCTTTGTTGCCTTGTAGCATGTAAATAATGGCTAGAAGCTTCTGTACCCAAGTTGTTTACCATCACAGTGTATGTAAACTAACAGTTTTACAATTTACAGAATGCAGAATTGCTTTCCATGGACGCTATGAGGTCATCTCTTACATAATGCATCTTCTCACCACCTAACAACATTGAGCATTCCTGTACGTAAACCTGTATTGACAGGGAAGGGGAAAGACAAGAAGAATCTTACAGCATTCTTTGAAACAGATTGTGTGAAGATATCATTTGAGAGCTGTGACCAAATCCATATTGGGCAGCTTCACAAAATTTCGAAGCTTGACGATTGGGTAATTTGCTTGCTGCATTATTGGGGAGGGGCGGATAATGATTGGCTCCTTCCTCCATTAAAGATTGAAACTCCTTGACAGCAAAGCTTGACAAGTACTACTTCTCTTCCGTAGTTCACTACATAAACATAATTTATATATATTTGTTGAAGGAAAGCAAGAAGATAATATATGCAGCATACTTATCTTCGGTTCACAAAGAGGAAGTTGTCGTAATGAATATTGCTTTGCCTTCTCTTCTGCCTTCTGTTTTGTTGTTTGGAACTTGTTAGGTTAGGTCTTTGTCCTTGTGATGTGATTATGTTGTCGTTTTATTTTAGTGTGTTCTGTATACTTTGCCATCAACTTTCCATTTTCTCATGAAACGTCAGTATAATTGTTTGCTAACAGATTGTATCTCCATCCTTAATTGTTTGCTAACAGTAATCTTGACCAGACAAAAAATTTACAGTCATACTCTCCTTTCAAAAGGGTCGGCCAAGGATGCTCTTGTTACCCACAGAAAAACGAGGGGGGAAACATTGTGACTAAAATGTCATAATCTCTCCAAGCACATGAATTGGCCACAGATATTTCTCGCAACTACAATCCCAATCACTTTTGCACACTCAACTGACTGTATAAAACGATCCCAGTTGCATATACACAAATCAGAGCACAAACTCTTCCTCCTATCTTCTGCTTGAAATGGCTAAGGCTGACAGATACTCCCCATCTTCATCGCCTCTCTATGAGAGATTCCCTCTCAAGTACACCAGTCATAGAATTCTAGACGTTGTGGTGTCCCTCCTCTTGGCTTCCCTTCTAATCTATCGTCTCCTCCATCTCCACCACCATGGCATTGCTTGGCTTATTGCTCTTTCATGCGAGTCTTGGTTCGCCTTCTTTTGGCTTCTCGCCGTCTCCACCAAATGGACTCCCGCTGAGTTTAAAACTTACCCTGAGCGGCTTTCCGAGCGGTATAACTCTATATCTCAATGCAAATTACTTCTTTTTTTTCCTTTCACTTACATATTAGTTCTTTCATTTGAGGAACATGCAGTTTGCGTCGTACCATTGAGCACGTGACTAATGAGATGATAATCCTTGAATCTCGACTCTTAGGCTAATGATGTCCTTGTGTTTTATCGACTGTGTACAGGGTGGAGGAGCGGGAGCTCCCGGCGGTGGATATGTTCGTGACGACTGCGGACCCAGTGCTGGAACCGCCGATAATCACAGTCAACACGGTGCTTTCGCTAATGGCGGTGGATTACCCTGTGAGTAAGCTTGCCTGCTATGTCTCGGACGACGGCTGCTCACCTCTCACCTATTACTCTCTAGTGGAAGCATCGAAATTCGCTAGGCTGTGGGTCCCATTCTGTAAGAAGTACAACGTCCACGTGAGAGCTCCATTTCGATACTTCTCCGTTGCCGAGGTTTCTTCTGGTAATGGCGAATCGTCAGAGTTCCGGCAAGAGTGCGAGAAGATGAAGGTGACAAAAAATTTAAAATTCTGAACTATGTTTTTTATTAACTATAATATAGCTTGACATTGGACAAACTAAATTGTGTGGAACTAGGAAGAGTACGGGAAGCTGTGTTGTAAGATCGAAGAGGCAACCGGAAAGCAGCCATCGTCATGGGACGTAACTTACAGTGGAGATTTGGCTGCTTTTGCTCATGTTGAGCGGAGGAACCATCCAACCATTATTAAGGTAAGTAGAGACATGGAGAGGTCTTTTTCCTTATAGGGAAAATTCACTCCTTTTGGTACTCTGTATGTAACTTTAAAAATGCTGAACCTCAACCATATTCTCTTCCCTTTAGGTGATATGGGAGAATAAATATGATACGTGGGCGGGAGAAGAAGGGCTGCCGCATTTGGTATACATATCCAGGGAAAAACGCCCCGAACATCCCCATCACTACAAGGCCGGTGCCATGAACGTCCTGGTAATGTAACTCAAGACTTCCCAACTTACGTACTGATGTACTTTACATATATATAAAGACAAAAGTAATGAATGGAACATTTCCGGGGGACATGCAGACTCGAGTGTCAGGAGTTATGACGAACGCACCGTTCATGTTGAACGTGGACTGTGACATGTACGCCAACAATCCACTCATCGTCCGCTATGCAATGTGTGTGTTGCTTGATGCCAGAAGGGAAGAGGGGTTCGTCCAGTTCCCCCAGTCTTTCTATGGGGCCTTAAAGGACGATCCCTTTGGCAATCAACTGGTGGTCCTTTTCCAAGTAACATAAAAAAAACAAAAAAAACACTCTATTATGATTTATGAAGGATGATCCCTGTGCCAACCAGTTGCACTCGCTGAATTCATACTCTGGTCAGTTTGTAGGAGCTGGGATATCAGGGATCCAAGGAGCTTTTTATGGAGGAACAGGGTGCTTTCACAGGCGCAAAGTCATTTATGGATTGTGCCCGGTTGACAACACTGGTAAACAAGACAGAATTCTCTGCCCTGTTCATGGTGCAGCTCGTTTTGACCATTTCATCAATCTTACTGTTACTGGTCTTAATTCCTGCTTCTGTTTTCTTTCTACTGTTTGGCAGGGGAATTTTCGGAGAAGGAACTGCTCAGGATATTCGGCACTTCAATCGAGTTTGCAGAGTCGGCCGGACTTGCATTGAAAGGGCATACCAATTCCCAAACGAACACTTCTAGAGGTCGTCTTTTGGACTCGGTCGAGGTAGCAAATCAGGTTGCTGGCTGCAGCTACGAATCCAGCTCAAATTGGGGCAAACCAAATGTTAGTAGTATCAACAAACCCCCCCTTTCCCGTCTGTTTCTTGTTTGATGAATAAACTAATTAGTGAAATCGGCGAACCCATATGAATTCTTCTGTAGATTGGTTGGCAATATGGTTCCACGACGGAAGACGTGCTAACGGGCCTTGGCATTCACACCAGAGGATGGAGCTCCGTAATGTGCAACCCATACCCTGTGGCCTTTCTCGGCTGTGCTCCAACTGGCGGCCCAGCTTCCCTGACTCAACAGAAGAGATGGGCTACCGGTTTGCTAGAAATCCTGATCAGCGGAAGAAACCCTTTAATTTCGGTATTCACTGCCAAGCTTCAATTCCGGCAGTGCTTGGCGTATTTGTGGATCATGATCTGGGGTTTAAGGTCCATTCCTGAGCTCTGCTATTCCCTCCTCCCTGCTTATTGCCTCATCACCAACTCCAATTTCCTCCCGAAGGTCAGATTCAGTTAACTTTTAGCTTATCAGTTACGCAAAGAAAATTTGACTTCTAAATCAAACAATTGTTACAAATCATTCTGCCCTTGGACTTGGTATCAAACATGATTAACTCATCATCTTACAGTTACTGGCATTACAATTTTCTGGTTATTTCAGTTGCAAGATCCAGGAATCTACATCGTAATAGCTCCACTAGCAGCCTACACAGTCTACACACTGCTCGAGTATTCCCAAACAGGGCTTTCAATACGGGCATGGTGGAACAACATGAGAATGGCGAGGATCGTGGCGACAGGGCCCCGATTTCTCTCCCTCCTGAGCGTGATTTGCAAAGTGTTGGGGTTATCAGAAACAGTCTTCGAAGTCACCCAGAAGGACACTACTAGTAGCAGTGATGATGATCAAAGTCAGCATGACGTAGCGAGTCGGTTCACGTTCGACGGGTCCTTGATGTTTGTACCCGGAACGGTGCTCGTTAATCTGGCCGCTTTGGGAATTGGGTTGGTGACCGGTTTTGGAGACGGGTCGGGTCTGGGAGAGGTGATCAGCTGCGTGGTGTTATTGAGCTTCTTTTGGCCGTTCGTTGAAGGTTTGTTTGTGGGGAGAGGGAAGTATGGGATTCCTCTGGCTACGGTTGGAAAGTCTTTTACATTGGCTCTGGTTTTTGTTTTGTCCTTCATCACACGACGACCTAAGAGCGCTTAGATTTATGGGTATAGACATTTGAGTAATGTATTGTTGAGATAGTTTGTGTATGATAGTTGTGGAGAAAGTTTTTGCTACGTATTGCAAAGAAAACTCCACAATTTTCAATATCATTTATAATTTTAATCTATGAGTTGAAGCTATCATTATTTTAAGTATTCAACCAGTAGGATAAAATATATTTGATGCTATTTATAATTTCAACCAGTAAGAGCTCAACCCGTAATCATTTAAGTTGTTTAACCAATAGAATAAAATCTATGTGATGCAATTAATCAACAATATTACTACTCATGTTATAAGAAAATGTACAACAACACATAACATTTTATTTTTATTAAATGGTTGACTTCTGTACATTACACAACAAAAACTATCATGGTTAAAATTTTGTACTTTATTTTTTAGCAATGATAGAAACTCATTAATAACTACAAATAACTTATTTTTAATTTTTAGTTTATAATATGTTTGATAATTGTTTATAATTTTTAAAAATAATTGCAAAATTCCTAAAAGCATGAATTTAGTTGGTACACAATTATAAAATTTTACCTAATTTGACATGTGATTTTATTTTAAAATCGAAAATGAAAAAGCAAAAAATAACCTTCTTTCGTATTCTAGAACACAAAGAATTTAAATATCCGAACTAACACACTCTTATCGCGATTTACTAGAAAAATAACTATCTTTTTTGTGCTTACTAAATTTTTAAGAGATTATAGCATGAAATAAAAATGATGATTTGCTAAGTCATAATAATTTATTTATGTGATCTATTCCTATACTTTAAGATTAATGAAATATATCAACATAATTGAGTCATATGCTACAGTGATACACTATAATTTCATGTGTTTAAGAATATCAACATACACCAATGGTCACCAAAATTTTTTTGTATCTTTTTTAAAACTGAATTATGGTTATATGGCTTAAATATGTTTATGCTCCATTGGTAAAAAAGTTACAAGAAAAGTAATGCTCATATAAATATATGCATTTTTCATCTTTAGTGATTGAATTTGACAATTCATGCATATTAGAATGACATCATTATCTTTTCCTTTTTGCGATTCAAATTTCTTTCTAATTTCATTTTTCGTACTTCATTAAATTTTCTAACATGCACAATTATAAACACATTGACTTTTCTTTTTTCCTGATGTAGGTATAATTCATTTCTTTTCTCTTTTCATTATTTGCATAAGTTTCTTTCTTTATCCTACATGAGTGTGATGCGCAACTTTGAGTCATGTTCCGATCCATAGCACCTAAATTAAGGAAGATTTCTAAACGCATCTTAAGCTATTGGGTGCATTCAATGCACTCGCCTGATAATCATCATTCCGAGCATGCGATTTATGTCAAACGATATCTATAGTCGCTTATGATATTATGAACAATAAACACATGAATTTTCAAAAAAACTCATTTAATATTTACTTTAATTTGAAAGATTTAGGATTTACGGATTTAGGGTTAGGGTTTAGGTTTACAATTTGAGATTTTGGTTTGGGATTCATAATTGAAGATTAACTGGTTAGGGTAATGGCTTGATTAGTTGTGATTTTATGTTATATCATCATATTATACTAATGCTATCAATTAAAATTCGAAATTCGTTGTATTGTAGTCACTTTTAGAATTGGGTGCACTGAACGCACCCAAAAAAGTGAGTGCACCGAAGTAGCCACCATATATATATATGGGTACGACTCTTATGCTCCAGGCGCATAGCATGCTTCAGGATTTTCCACCATTGATCTAATCTAACGGAATTTATTAATTCTTTTTAAATTAATTATTTATTAATAATTATATTACAAACTGTACCCTTTAAATAATTATACGTGCTATGAAGTCCCCCAAGTATGATACCTTTATTTCGTAGAGGTTCTGATTGAACCCAAAAATTTATATAATTGATAATAAGATTCTATTGAAATTTGGATCAAATAAACGAGTAAAAACTTCAATTTTACAATCATCATCCAAATTCAGCAACCAATAAAACCTAAAACCAAAAGCAACTGCCGTCGACTTCAGCTCAAGCTCTGCTTGCAAGCTCTTATAGTACTGGAATCAGACGGATGCCATGGAAAACAGAGGCTGCGGTGTGATCATTGCGGGAATCGGGATACTAGGCGATTAGTTTTCTCCCATCCTTGTTCTTTATATGACGAGATCGGGATGACCGATTCGTTCAGACGGCAAGGATTTCGATCAATGTCGGAAGCAAGCTTACCATGTTTTCTACTGCGAGATGGAAAAATGTCAAAAAGAAACAAAAGGATAAGAAAACTCGAAGTAGAGTCTCCTCCCATCACCGGCGAGCTCATTCTTTCTATTCTTCTCTACCTCGTTCCGCCTAAGTCATTCATGAAATATATAGTTCACTGTGTTTTGGGGAAAGGGGTCGGGTTTCGTTGGGGAAAAATAAAAGTGTCGGGTTTCGTTGGGGAAAAATAGATACACATGGGCTAGTTTGGCTAGGGTTTCGTTGGGGAAAAATATAAGGGTATGCGAGCATTGGTATCGAACCATTGTCTCAATAAGCACATGCAAAGCAATTACCAACTGGTCTGAACGAATTTTGTAATTTTATTAACACACATATTATTAAAATGATTAATGATTCGTCCTAAAAAACCAAAAGTTTGTCTTCGACCATCAGCATCCCATTATTTTATCTATGCTATGAGTGAAGAGTCAGATTTTTTTTTTTGGAAACAAAGAAGCACATATTGTCATTCGTTTGCTTGTCTAGTTGACACTAATTTTTTCAGATTGCAATCGCAAATGTGAAGATATGATTTTCATCCATTAAGTATATGAAGAACGATGTTTAAAATTGGAAAAATGAGAATGGTTGAACAACATGTAGGTGACATCTATTAACAATATTTGCATGCTAGTTTTGACGAGGAAAGTGTTCTAAAATGCGAATTATCTTCGTGCATTGTTATAAGCAGTGTGCGTCGAACTATTATTATGTGATTGTATGAATTTTAAGTATTATTATTTAAAATTAAATTTTCTATCATATATTTAATTTTTTATGATATGGAGAAGACACCCCTTGTCCAATGATCATGTTGAAACTTCATGGTGAAGAAACAAGAACAATTTAGTCAAAGCATACTTCTGCCCCCGTTTGTTGCATGGTGTTATTGGTCATAAGAAAAGCACCTACATAATTAGAAGTGTGTCTATGAATTACTTGAGTGCATAATATACCTACATTACATTAGAGCTTTTAGCATTTGTCAATTCCTCATGACTGCACCTAAGAATATGAACTTTCATCGTGGTGATAGAAGTTTGTAGTATGACACATATTTATGTTGCTTATGAGAGTATTTGAATTCAATTATTATCGTCATCTATGTCTAACTTGGTGGCTAACCCGTGTTAAAGGTTCATGTAGGTCAACAAAGCATGTTGAGTTTTATTTTTTTCTAACGAGAAGACGTCCCCATGCAGGAGACAAAGCTTATTTACTTTGGAACACAAATAACAAAAATTTGGCCTATAAATGTAGTTTTTATCGTGGAAGCACAAATTTGTTATGATTTTTGGTTAACATATTGACTATTTCGTTGTGCGAGAGTCGATCTGAGTCGATAAATTGTGTATTGGGTTAGAGAGAGAATGTTGACTATGGCTCGTAGATAGACACCAAGTGTTGTTATTCCTCATATACGTTTGGGAGTTATTATTAATCATAAGTTTGTTAGTATTGACAAATGCTTTACCATAAACGGGTTAGAAAGCTTGTACGTACCAGGAAAATGCATTTGTAATTAAATCGACGTTCGGGGTGAACAGAGTGCTCTAAGCGCAAGTTCGTCGAAGGTGCTCCCACTAGAAGATACGACAGAGATAAGTGAAAACTTGCACTTTCTTCTCTTATGTCTTTTCAAATCTTTAGGTTTTTTATTTTGTTTCTTTGATTTCCCTTTTTGGAAGCGTACTGAAATTTTTGGTCGGATTGGGGCCTACGAATTGGTTTATGAAAATGGGTATGTTTCAAATTTCAAAACTCGAACCGTCCGAGTTGTACTTGTTTTGTTTGTCTCAAACAACTTAACTAGTGGGCAAAACTATATTATGTTTTTTTATAAACATTCAAATAATAATAAGGTTAGGCTCCATCCATTTTTACGTAAACTTCTATTTGGAAAACAAAATGCTAAGGTTCCAGCAACCAAAATTAATCTTTCTACCTTAGTATTTGGCGGATAAAATCGAAATTTAAAAGGATTTTCCACTCCTTTTTTTCAAGATATTGAAGCATGAATTTCAATTTTGAATTTTCCCTCACAATTTGGAGTGCTCTGCACTCTGCAGCCTAAATTAATCGCAAACACAATTCAAAATAGTGAATCTTTCCCAATTAGTTATAGGCGGATAACACAAAATTTAAAATGCTTCTGGAGACAAAATTCAAAATATTAAAATTTCCCACTTTTTTTTTTCAGAATACCGCGTTTTTATCCAGCAAATATTTTTACTTCCCTCCTTCTCCACTGCATGGCATGAATCTGGAAAGGAGAGGTTATGATTGCATCGGGTTGTTGACGGCGATTCCGTTTGCTCGCCGGCCGTGGGATTTGCTTGTGCTATTCGTGGGCGTGACTCGACGATGACGTTTCCAAGGAACGACAGAGTTTGTCTTAAATCGTTCTGTCTTATTTTCTTTCAATCCAAATTCAAGGGTTTGTGATTTCGTTTCTTTTATTACCTTTTTTGCTCGCAGCGTTCTGAAAATCTTGGTAAAGGAGCTTCAAAAGCACTGCACGAGTTCTTCAGTGTGTGGAGGACTACTTAGTTCGATCTGTGTGGGGAAATATGGACGATTTGGACCGTACGGTTCATTTCTGAAAATGAGTATGTTTCAGATATCTATTCCACCATATGCTTAGAAGTTGTGTGTATTAGGGTAATTAATGGGTGGTTCTTATTCTCAGAATTGCATGCTAGTTAGATGCTTGATTGAGGGTGATGCATGGAAAGACCAGTTAGGTTTCTTCTTCTCATGTTTCACTGATTAGGTGTTCGTTCTGTTTTCTGTTTCTCATTGCGGTGCCATGATTTTTACGGGTTATAACTTCTATTTCTTTCTTAAAGCTGTCTCATTTGCTCCTCAATTGCTGCTGTCTTATAATATATAAGTTCACTTACATGAAGCTGTTATGGTTCTTGGTATAGGCACCATAGGAAGCACCGCAAATGGGAAGGCCTCCAATGCCAATTTGGAGGGAGCAAACCTAGAAGGAGCCAATTTGAAGGTAGGGGGTTTTTTGCTTTTGCATTCTCCTTCTGATTCAAAAATACTGTTAGATTTGGTTCTTGATTTTCTCAAGATTCTCTTGTCAGGGTGCAAAACTATCAATGCTAATTAGGATGGTATCATGGGTTTCTTTATTGGCGTTGATTTGCTTGCATCTCTCTGCCACAAGTACGAGACATCAGAGGATCACCTCAAGCAAATGATGAAGACCAATCAGTGGCGGACCCAGAAATTTTTCATAGGGGTGTCCTCTTTTAACAAATAAATTTAATAAAAATAAAATAATTAATAAAATAAAATTATAAATTAGGAAAATACTTTACTTGTACAGGTTTAAAAAGTCCATTATGTGTTCTCATATTCTGAAATAATTGTAGAATACACTTGGTGTCTACAGTGTTAAAAACAATTGTATCTATATACCGTACTAGATAATCATTCACGAACTTATCGCATATTCGATTGGTAAACTTGTTCTTGATGTAACCCAAAGCTGAAAGAATCTTTCAACACTTGTCGTACAACCATAAAATCAATACAAATTAAGGGTAAGTTGAAATTAGTTTAATTGATAGGTTTTGAAAATAATTAGAAATAGGGAATGACATTTTACTATGATACAGTGTTCAAAATCAAACAACAAATGAGTTGTAGTTTAATGGAAATTAAGTTTGTTAATAATAATAGTGCTCTAGGTTTGAATTACCCAACCTACCACTTATATTCCCATACACAAATTTAAAAAATGCTATTAGAATAATCATTTTTCCAAATTTCAGGAGTGTCGCTCACTATCAATTATAAATTTTTTATCCATACGTAAATTTCTATTGTGGGTTGAATAATCGTTTTCCCTAAATTTAGGGGTGTCCGGGACACCCTAAAGCTCCGTGCGTCCGCCCCTAGACCAATAATTCAATAGTAGAGATGGTGGACGAGACAGATCATTTCGAGCTACTCTGTATGCTCATTTGTGAATGAGCTTTTCCATTTTAGTGGCTTCTGCCTGATTCTGTAACTGAAGTTGCTGCCGTTGGCTTTGGTTGTGAGTAGGCGACCAATTTCATACGACGAGTTGAAGGGGCTTGGTATTCCTCCACCACCTGAAGGGAAATACATGTCACCGTTCGAGGTACTTTTCTTTTCTTTCTCTTTAAAAAAAATGCTAGTTTTTAGTCTAACCTTCAAATATCATTGCGAGATATTATGCCTTCTCGTTAGTGTAGTAGTCTGTTAAACACTTAAAATGTTAGAAGGGAATCCAAACTAGTTGCTGCCATTCTCGATTTCAGTACCTAGAGTCGGAGAGACGGGAATAAGAAAAAAGCTCCAATGAAGGTTGTCAACCCGCGGGTCGACCCACGGGTTGACCCAATTTGACCCTGACCCGGTGAGAAAAACGGGCCGCACGCACCCGTCGGGTCGACCGCCCCAAGGTACCGGGTTGGAGGTCAAATTGTGTCATTTTTTTCTTTGTTTTGCGAAATGCGCCTATTTTCCGATTTTTCTTTTCGCCTAACTCAATCTTTGGAATCCTAAAATGAACATTTGAATATTAATGTTATATAAGTGTGTGTGAATTTTCACTATATGTTGAATCTAAGTACGAAATGTTATTTTGGTGTAATATTCTACGTTATAACTCATATGTTAGATGGGATTTGATATAATTTATCAGGATAAGTACAATATAATGACGCTTTTCATATTTCCGGGCTAAACCGAGCTAAACCAGATGACCCATTAACCCTTGACCCACTAGCTCAACCGGGTCCGGATCAACCCGCGGGTTGACAACCTTGACTCCTATCTGTATGATGTGTTTACAGAAAACAGGTTCATCGGTTCATGAATTACTTCTTGGAGACTTTCATGTGGGCACTGTTCAAGTGATTTTATGCGACACCACAGGAATGTGGGGGCCAGAAGGTCCAGATGGAAGTGAAAATGCGTCCCTTTGACTAGATAAAGGTAAACCATCTGCTCACATACTTTATTAACTCTGTTTCACACACTTCTGGTATTGTGATCTAGTCATACTAATATTGAATCAATTGAACGTGGAATAATGTTCCAGTGTTTGGAACATTATATTCTGGCTTCAAGAATGAATACATTTTAAATGAGCAAAATCCCATTACTTGGATCAACAAGTTTGAACTTTCAGTTATAATTGAAGCTTAATGTTATGCCTATATTGTTTTCTTAGAGATGCTCGTCTGGAATTTATTCAATTACGTGCTCTTATACTGTATCTATGTTACAGAGAGACTACACGACATGGGTAGAATTCTTACAACCATATGCAATCATTCATTTCACTGTTCGTACATCTCAAAATGGAC